GGAAATGCTAAGGGATAGGGACATGATTCAAAAGCTTAGCATCAGGAGTGGGGAGCTGGGAAGTTAGGCCCCACAGGGCACCCCAGAAGTGTGAAGAGAAGTTCTCAGGGCTGTAGCAGTTGACTCTGTGCTCAGTTCAGACCCTGAGTTAGAGACTCAGGATGACACACCACCCCACTTAAGGGCGATAGAACCCCAGCCTCAGAAGTCTGTGGCCTGTCTGTCTATGAGTCTTAAGGCTGCTGCTTTTCTCCCAGAAGCCCAAAGAATTTTTATGTCCCTTGGTTTCCCTCCCCCAAGCCCAGAGGCATCTAAGGGATACACAATCCTGGTTGAGAAACCCAGCCTCCACAAAATCACCAGATCGGGTCAGCAGAGTCCAACGGAACATCCTGAGCCCAGTGTCATCTGCCCTCAGCTTGTGGTCCAGGCCTGATGGCTCAGCTTCCCCTCTTGGGGCAGGAGGCCCTGACCTATTGCCTCATTTCTTTGAACCACCAAGTCCCTAGCCTTCTGCAGAGCCCCAGGAAGAGACCTAAAGGTCAAAGGGTTTCTGATAAAGGCCACACAAAGCTTTCAGGAGGAGATGAGCTCCCTGGCCAAAAACGTACAGAAGTCACGGGAAACAGCCGGAACTGGCTGGTACCCTGGCCCAGAATGCAGTTTGGCAGGTACTCAAGGGAAAGGTGCCACAGGCCTGCTGGGCAGGTGGAGCCAGGAGCTCTCCCAGGAGTGTCATGTTAACCCCTCCCCCTCAGGAATCTGGACTTTTGAGCCCTCGTACTGGCAGGGCATGAGTTCAAAAGGTTGAGAAGTGGTGATCTAGTCAGGCCTCTTCAGTGTGTAGCTGGGGAGTCTGAGGCCCGGGATGAGGAAGTGTCCCTAGGCCCTCTGGAATGGGCCTGTTGTCAGGGAAGGATACAGAGCTGTCAGGGGGTGGTGAGGAACGGAGGGAGCATGTACACAGTGAAAACCACATGACCTGAGCTCTAACACAGGAATGGAATGTGAGCCCAGAGTGCGGAGCCCAGCCATGCTGCAGCTGGTTGGGGTCAGATTTAGGATTTGCCTCTCAGGGCTGGGCCCTTGGTCTAAGTGTCTTGTCCCCACTTCCCTGCTGCTCCTGGCTGCAGCTGCTGAGTTTGCTACTCTCTTTAGCACCAAGGAAATCCTAGTCCTGGCCTAGAGAGGACTCTGGGAGCCGCCTCAGGGAAAGGCATCCGGCCAAGGGGGTGAAAGTTGAACGAGGCAGGCAGCTATACTGAGCCTCACAGCACACCGTTGGCAAGCCCACCTGGCCAGCCAGAACCAAGTGGCTGTTTACTTTCAGTTTTCAGCCCTTTGGAAAGTTTTCCTTCTAGCTCCTAAGTCAGAGCTGCTCTGGAAAAGAACAAAATTTCAGCCCTTTCCCCGGCTCACTGGGCAAGGGGCAGTACTGGGGGAGAGCTTGGCCAGGCCTGGCATAGCACTGGGCATGCCTTGAGAAGGCACTGTACCCCACTTCTACTCTGCCTAGGGTGAGGTCTGAGAACAGCAAGGCTTCGTTTTGCTCTCTGCAGCTGGGGTCAGCTCTAGCTCCAGCTTAGCCCCTGTGTTTGCAAGATGTCGTACCTGGCCAGAACCTTGGTCACATCTGAATTTTATTTCAGTTTCACTGTAGACTGGGGGAAAGAAGGCCAAACAGAAATTCTTTGCTCCATTTGGCAGTGAAGATACTGAGACCCAGAGAGAGAAAGTGGGACAGTTGTGCTGGGCCACAGGCCAGTGTTTCTTTCACTCCACCCCACTGCCTCCCCTCTGAGAAAGCCCCCACTTACTGAAGCAGGGGTAAGTGGGGGACCTGCACCCACCACTCTCCTAGGAGCACGTGGCCTGTTCAGAGGGATCCATCTGGGGACTGCAGTGGAGGGAACCCAGCACACAGTAGGTTGGATCAGATCACATTTCCGACTAAAGAAGAAGGCTGGACCCTCCCGAGAGAGCTTTTGGAGAAGGTGCTGCACCGCAGGGACCCGGCCAAAGAGAGAGCCACAGGCCAGGAGAAGTCCCTGGGTTATGCACACCTCCTCGTGCATTGTCTGCTCATCTTGATCTGGTTTCACATGGAGAAACCAAGGCCCAGAGAGAAAGTGACTTGCCCAAAGCCAGGGCAGAGCCAAACCCTGTCCCCGTCCTGGTCCCTGGGCCATGCAGATAAGGCCCCCTAGGTTACTGGGATCCAGGTCTGGGTGCTGGGAGGTTGGCTGAACCGGCCACCATCGATTCAACTCCAAGACAGATATTGGCCTGGCCTGCAGGTGCAGGCCTGTGCTCATGCTGTTCCCTCCAGTGGAACGACCTCACCTCACCCCCAGTTCTGCTGAAACCCTGCCCATCTCAGATCCCACCTCTGTGCTGAGCCTCCCCTGACATTCTCAGCTGTTATGAGTTGCTTCTTTGTCTATGCTCCCAAGCTCTAGGCCTCATCTCTGTGATTATTAGGTAGAATGTGTCTCCCCTCTAGCTTGAGCAGCCCCATGAGGATAGGAACCATGGCTGCCTATTGTCCTTAAGAATTGATCAGGTTGAATAGATCTTAGGCTGCTGAAAAGTTTGCTGAATCACTAATAAATGTCTTTTTTTTTTTATGATGAAGATTTGGCCCTGAGCTAACATCTGTGCCAGTCTTCCTCTATTTTGTATGTGGGACACTGCCACAGCATGGCTCGATCAGCAGAGTGTAGGTCTGCACACGGGATCGGAACCTGAAAACTCCAGGCCATGGAAGGGAGTGCACAAACTTAAACTACTATGCCACCAGGCCAGCCCCAGTAAAGGTCTTTTGATGGTCATATCACGAACTGAGGTACTTGGCCCTGCCCATCATGGAGAGCAAGACCCATTGGAGCCTCTCCAAAACAGAGAATGCTTCTCTTCTGACAGATGAGGACACAGTGGCCTGGTTTTAGGATTTGAGATAGGAGACTATGCTCTTAGGCCTGTTTTCCCATCTCGTTTATAGAACAGTTATCTCCCTGGTTCCCTTTCACTGTATCAGAGAAAGAAATGGAAAGTAAGATGCAGCAGGTGACCCAGAAGATCTGTCTACAGTACAGCCAGGGGACTGGAATGGGACTTGTGTCACCTCTAAATCCTAAATACCTCAAGAGACAGCAGTCTTGGATCTTGGGAGTATAGAGGAGTATATGGAGGCTTAAAGTGCTGCAGAGAGGGTTTGGCTTACCTGAAGGCCTGGCTCGTGGTAGGCCAACAACCACTGGTTCTAGAATGAATGAATGAGACGTTTGCTGCAAGAGGCAGTCTCCTCTCTACCCAGTTTAAGCCTCTGGTCACCATGGCTTCATCCACCCAGTCACTGGTCTAGCAGCCACCACTCTGCTATCTTGGACCCAGCCCAGTTGAGTCACAAGCATCAGACTCAGTCCATGCCCTGCAGGAGCACGCAGTCAGAAGGGGGAGGGCAATAGGCAGTGACTTGGCACTGGCCCCTGGCCTGAATCCTATGGGATGCAGGTGTCTCCCATATTTTGAAAGGAAGAACTGCAAACCTCAGCAAATGTGGGTTTCCTTTTCCCTGGTTGCCTAGACCTGCCTAGAAGACAGGGAGCTGGATTTTCTAGTCTCTGCTGGGCATGCCCAGACCCTAGCACCGCTTTGCTCTTGGTTCTCAGCCAACCCTGCCTGTGAGCTGTCAGTGCTGAGAGCTGGCTCAGATCATATGCACTCCTTGGCATTTAGAACTCCAGACTGGCAGGATCCTCAAGGTTGCTCACCTTCCCTTTCCCATGGGTGGTAAACTGACACCAGACAGTAGAGCTGCTCTTCTGATTCTTTGAGTGGCTCTCTCTATCTCCCCAGCTTAACTCTGAGCGATGGAGGTCAAGAAATGAGTTCTGTTCCTTTCTCTCTCCCTCTCACAGTAGACATTAAAAAGCTTAAAGAAATGAGGGAAAGAAGGGATTACTGAATGTTACTGATGCCAGAAACAACCCTAGCTGGGCCTCAATTTCCCACTAGCAGAACTGCAAGGGGCAGGGAGGAAGTCTCAATCTCTAGGGTCTCCGCCCGGCTGACTCTCAGTACCTGGGGAGTGCTGCAGTGTGCTCTCAGTGCCCCTTCAGCTTGTCAAGATCTCGGCTCATGGGATTTGGGGATGGAGAAGAGATATCCATCCACAGGGCTGGCTGCAAGTCTGCTGTGGTGGCGGCTCCCATCTCCTTTCAGCACTGCCTCTTCCCCTACCAGGCCTCCACCCCTTCCCCAGAGCCTTGCTCTCAGCCAGCTGCCTGGGGTGGCTTTCATATATAGCTTTGAGCTCCTTCGGGGCAGGAACCTGGCACAGAGTAAGCACACACACGAAAAAATGCTGAATGAGCAAATGAACAAGGAGTCATCAGAGGACCACCATGTCATAACCCAAATGCATGTGCCTTAAAGATGGAATTAGTGAAACCCTCTGAGCCCAAGGCAGGGAGATGTTTGGTAGCAGGGCCATAGGTATGTGCTTCATGTCACCCATCAGTTCTAGGAACTCCAAGGGGCTGTACAGAGAGGTATTATTCTCCAACATCTTCTCCCTGGCGGTTGGATATATTCCTAGGGTCACATGTGGGACAGTCACAACTTGGAGGACAAATGACTTGTCTTGACTCGTGCAGTAAGAGAAGGGATGAGGCTCAAACCTGTCCTGGAGGTGGCTGCCTCTCCTCCAGAGATATAGAAAGGGTCTGAGCTGTGATTCACGTCTTAGCTCTGCTCCTCCGAGCTGTGGGACCTTGCATTTATTTAATCTGAACTGTGGTTTCCTCACCCATGACATGGGAATGGTCTGCCACCTTATGGGGTCAAGGCGGGGTTAAACAAGATCAAGGATGGAGAGTGCTTTGTAACCAGTCAGCTCTGCATCAGTATTTGCCGAAGAACCAAAAGATGAGAGGAGTCAAAGTCATCTCTTGGTACCATATCCTCAGTGCTAACCTAGCTGACTTCTTCCTCTCCAGGACAAGAGTGAGGCCACCAGGGGTACCCAAAGGCCTTGTCGCCCCAGACTTAACTCGCTGCCTCCCAGCCTGCCTGAGGAAGAAACTCGCAGGATCGCACGGATATTTTCTTCCCAATACTCCCAGAAAGACTAACGCAGACAAGAGACTGAGGGAAGGACCCACATGCCCACCCTCTCTCAGCCTTATCTGGCTTGCAGGAAGCACCAGGTCTGCTTCCCTCAGGGCTGTTGGAGCCCTGAAACCACCACCAGCCTAGCCCGTGGGTACTTTGACCCAGTCAACCCAGACAGGAGGAGTGTCCCAAACCAGCCCAGTGTCCACCCACCAGGACTTCAGCTTCCTTCTATCATGACGCAAAGGCTAGAAAGAAAATGGAATCCAATGCCCAAGTGGCACACTCATCGTTTGACCAAGGGACCTCTGGCTTAGACTGTCAGGCTCCCAGCATTTCAGCAGCTGTGGGTTTGGGTTGAGAAACTCCTCCCAGTGTCCTTGACACAGCGCGCTGCTGACAACGAGCCCACCCCCAGCCTGGATATGATGGTCGTTTTTGCCTTAAAGGTTTGGAGGTGGGGGAGATTGTGTGCACCGTGCATAGCTGAGGAAATCCTAGGGCCACCGCCAGTTCATTTTCTTGGGAATAAGGGTATTTTATAGATATAAATTATTTTTATGCTTTGTTGAATTAATAGAAGAGGAGGGGGAAATCACCTCCTTCAAGCTTTTTATCTGATTGTCTGAAATTCTAACCATGCTTTTAACTTATTGTTTTTACCCAGCTCTGAAGGTTGTTGTCCCTACCTGTGTTTGAATAAAATCATATTGGTATTTGTAGTCTGTGCACAAGTGTTTCCTAGGTTGGCCACTAGACTGGGGTATTAGAAATTCATTTGTGCTCTAACGGCCAGAGAGAAAGCTTGACAACCATAGAGTCCCTCAGCAAAGCTCGTCTGGAACCAGAGGCCAGGGTCACCATGAGACTTCTGAGCTCCCCCAAAGATCAGGTTGGCCTAGATTAGGGTGACACCCAGTATTTCCTTTGCTCGTGCCTCAAATCTCTCAGCAAAGTGGAGGGGGCTCCAGGAGCAGGTCCCCTCAGAATCCCCCATCTCTTTGGAATGGGTAACTCTGGCTTAGACTGTCAGAATCCCAACATTTGAGCAGCTACCATAGGCAAGGGCCTGTGGGGAGGATAAGAAAGGGGCAAAGATGTGCAGAGTGGCTGAGAGAGGAAGTTGGAAGGGAACTAACACGGAGGGCCCTGCTTTCCACCACCAAGCACAAGTCATTTCACTTAGTCCCCAAAATAGCTCTGTAATCTACATATTATGATTTCTGCTTTATGGTTAAACTGAAGCTCAACAAATTTATTTGCTTCTGTTTATGTAGCTAGGAAGTGAATCACCAAGCAAGACATCTCCAGAGATGTTCCAAGGCTTTTGTTGCCAGGGTACAGCCAATAACTGCTCTGAATTTGGGGAATTCATGGGGAAAGACCTTGTGGGCTGGAGCAGTCTGGGAAGGCTTCCTAGAAAAGATACGTCTCGGGGTGAGCCCAGATGCAGAACCAGGAGGGCTCACAGGGCCACACCCTGCTGAGGATAGAGAAGAGACCAGTCTGGTTCTGCCACTTTCCTGATAGGTCCCTTCTGGCTTGATTCTGGCTCCGTCCAAGCCTCTGTTGCCTCATCTGTAAAACGGAGATAATAACCCAGGGTTGTTGTGAAGATTAAATGAGATGACATTTGTGAAAGTGCTTTGCCTGCACTTGGCACTTGGTGGAAGCCTAGGAAATGTCAGCCCCGCCCACTCCTCCCCCACTCTCCCGGAGCAAATCTCTAGCTAGGCAAGCACCCCAGTAACTATGAGACCGGCAGCACATGCCCTCACAGGGTGCAGTGTGATGCAAGAACCCCACAGAGGGACTGTGTACCCTCATCGGGGAAGTGCCCTCAGACCAGCCAGCCCCCTCATCTGTCTCGGCCCCCTGACCTTCAGCCTACCAGCTCACCCCCCCCCCCCAGCGCCTCCCTCTCAGGGTGATGACCAGAAGCTTTTGAGGCCGGGGATCCACCTCCCTTGAGGCTGCGGAGAACCTACAGAGGGGCATTCAGGGGCCCAGGCCTTAGGGGTTAGGCCTCAGGTGAAGAATAGTCCTTCCAAATCCTCCTCCAGGATCTGGGTGAATAACCTGGGTGAATAACCAGGATCGGGGTCAACTTAAGATAAGGCCACAGGAGGACACAGGCTCCTCCTACCTCAGGCCAAGGGCAGCCTCCAGGGCCACAGAGGCAGCCTGAGGGTCTGAAACCCACCGCCTACACTTACGAAGAGTGTGTTATTTACCACTAACTTCTCTGGAATTTGGATCTATTTCCAGTGACAGCTCAGAGGTGAAATGCCTTGTGGGGTCTTGCAGCACAGGTTAAGGGCATGAGGTACCTGTTTGTGCCCACCTCCACCAACTTGGGGACACTCCCTCTGCAGACACCTGTAAATGGGTGTTTCTGATCACCCGGAGGCTGACTGATCCCAGCCTAGCAGTGAACCTTGGAGCCTCTATTGTGGGCTGGATGCTGGGGACAGGGAGCCAAAGCAGACAGACCTGGCCCTGCCCTCAGGAAGCTCCCAGGCCTACATAAGCTTTCTCCAAGGCCTGCTGCCCCCTTGTTTGGGTTCCTACTGTTATCCCTCCCCACGTACTCACTGCAATTCACCCGCCGCCTCCAGGCCGACATTTCCAGGTGGAGCCCAGAACCTTCTTCCTGCGCCCTCCCAACCTCAGCAGCCCTAGCAGCCCTTCCCTCATAAACACAACTGCCTGTGCTGCTGACATTAGGGCAGCACCTGGTCCGAGGAGGAGGACAGGCACAGCCCAGGCTTTGCACTCGGGTCTGGCCTTGTGACCACCTGCCTCGTGGCCATGGCTCTGTGCCCAAGTCCAGAAATGGCCTCTGCCTACTCCTCTGCCCCACCCAGTTAACTCCCTTCTCTTCCCACCCCCTCCCTCTCCTCCCCTCCCCTCTCTTCCTTCCCTCCTCTGCCCGCTTCTCCTTCCCTCCTCTTTCCTCTGTCACCTGGGCCCCAGGTTCAGATGTGCCCAACCCTTACCCTCAGTGCCTACCCATGGAGCCTACAGTAGCTGCTGGAGGGGACCCTTCCCGCCCTGCCCCACGCCTTCTCCAGCACCCTTTGGCTCCAGCAGTGTCCATGCTGAAGCCTCCAAGCGTCATGTCACAGAGAATAGTGATCACAGCAGATAGGCCCAAAGTATGTGATAATTTACGGGCTGGAGGTCAGACCCTGCCACATACTGGGTAAGTCATTGTCCCTTCTTGAGACTGTTTTCTCCTCTATAAAATAAGCATTACAAATGTTAACATTCTCAGCAATAAAAAGGAATGAAGTACTGATCCATGCTACACCACAGGTGAACCTTAAAAATACTATGCTAAGTGAAAGAAGCCATTCACAAAAGGCTACATATGGTATGATTATATTTGCATGAAATGCTCAGAAATCTATAGACATAAGGTAGGTCAGTGATTGCCTGGGACTGGGCGGGAGGGGAGAATGGAAGGGATTGCTGATGTATACAGGGATGTTTTTGGGGGGGTGATGAAAATGTTCTAAAATTGTGATAATGGTTGCATAACTGAACACACAATAAACCATTGAACTGTACCCATTAAATAGATTAATTGTATGGTATATGAATTATGTCTCAATAAAGTTGTTATTAAAGAAAAAATTAGAATCCTAATAGTAGCTACCTCATAGGGTTGTGAGACATAGAAATAAAATATGTAAAGTAACTAGCACATAGTAGGCACCAAGAAATGACAGTTATTATCACTGTTATTAAGAGGAGGCCTGGGGCCAGCCTGGTGGCACAGCAGTTAAGTTCACACGTTCTGCTTTGGCAGCCCAGGGTTCACTGGTTCGGATCCCGGGTGCAGACATGGCACCACTTGGCACGCTATGCTGTGGTAGGCATCCCACATATAAAGTAGAGGAAGATGGGCACTGATGTGAGCTCAGGGCCAGTCTTCCTCAGCAAAAAGAGGAGGATTGGCAGCAGATGTTAGCTCAGGGCTAATCTTCCTCAAAAAAAAAAAAAGAGGAGGCCTGAGAGAGCCATGCCCAGCCTAGCATAAGATGACTTGACCTTTGGATTCTCAAAGGTCACAGGTCCAACACCTTAACCCCCATATGTAACTTTATCACCCAGGGTAGCTTTTCTTTCAGCAGTTAGAAAGAGCTGTTTTAAAGAACCCCAAGTTGAGGGAACTGAACCAGATCTGGGACTCTGCCTTTCCCCTCACCTCCCTGCCTCTCACCAGCCACTTCTTGTCAAGTGATCAGGCTGTCAACTACTTCTCTAGGGTAAGGTTTCAGGTCAGCTGGAGTCTATAAAGACAGATGCCAAGCCAGAGGCAGCAGAGAGAACAGTGAATGGCAAGGGGGCCATCAGATCCTTGCTGCCACCTCTGGGATGGAGCCCTAAGGAGCCCTAAGGAGCCCCTGTGCTTCCCTACCCTGGCTGGACTCAGGTAAGACCCCATTCTCCACCCCACTTCCTCCTCCATGTTCCCCCCTTCAGGGCAGCTTACAGAGAGCCGCCAGGAGCTGTCAGGGATCAGTAACCATAGCATGACAGCGCTGATATTCAGTCCAGCCCCGACCTTGTCAAGAGAGGGAACCACAGGCCTGATGAGGGCACTGCGGTAGGGCTGGGACTCGACCCCAACAGCTGTGTCACTCACCCAGGACTTACTTCCCCTTTGCTTTGCAGGCTGCCTCTGCTGTGACTTTGCAAATCTCCATAGATAACAAGTGGCTTTCTCCTTAGTCTGGCCCAAAATCCCCAGGATTCCTCCAGAGCATAAAGCCTTCTCCCCATGAGGGTCCTGGCTGGTGGCCTCTGAGTAGGAATGCTGGAAGTACCTCTGGCCTGAGGCCTGGCCCAGGTCGCATGCTGGGGGTTTACAGAGCCCATGAAGACTGTCAGCCAGGTCGCTTCCTCAGCGGGGTTGCTGTGGAGGCTTTGCCAGGAGGGTGGGGTCAGGCAGGGCATCTCAGGATGGGGTCCTCTGACCCCTGCTTTGCAGCCACCATGGGGAAATTGTTTCTAATGCAGATTCCTAGGCCCCAGGCCAGACCTGAATCGGGATCTCTGGGGCTGAGGGCCAAGAATCCATTCTGTAAACAAGTAGCTCCAGGGATCCTGAGCTCTCCCTGAAGTCTGAAATTCTGGGCAGGGTAACAGGCACCAGAGGTGTCAGAATTGGGCTCCAATCCCAGCTCCATCCCTTCAGCCTTATGACTAGTGAAGCCTTCGAAGCCTCAGGTCCCTTGTTTATAAAGTGGGAACAGTCACAGCAACTACCTCACAGCCTTATAAAGGGATTGAATTAGTCAACGCCTGTCAAGCCTCAGCACGGTGCCTGGTGCAGGAAGCACTCAGCAAACATTAATGGGGCACCACCACCCTGGGCTGTGCAGGCTAGAACATCTCGTCCCTCAGGTGTCCCGGCAGAGCTGCAGGGAGGAGGGTTCTGCTCTCTACTTCCTCCTCTAGCCTCCGCCAGTGGCAAAGGTCTGCTGGCTGCCAGGGCTCCTCGAGCGCCAATTCAGGATGCTGAAATAAAAGGGAAAGAGGGTTGGGGAGCGCTGGCCTCAGAGCAGCCCCTACCTGTGCCCACCATTGTGACCTCCTCCCACAGTTTAACCACTGAAAGTTCTAGAATCCTCCCCCAAGGTGTGGCTTTTCACCTGAGTCCATGCCCACCCACTCCACCTCCCGTTGGTCTCTCAGGACTGCCTCTGGAATA